CCCCGCGGGCCACCGAGCTCCCGGCCGAGCCGCGCGACAAGTGGACACGGCGCCTGCGGCTGTCACGGACGCTGGCGGCCAAGGTGGAGCTGGTGGACATCCAGCGCGAGGGCGCACTGCGCTTCATGGTGGCAGATGACGCGGCCGCGGGCCCGGGTGGCGCCGCCCAGTGGCAGAAGTGCCGCCTGCTCCTGCGCAGGGCTGTGGCGGGCGAGCGCTTCCGCCTGGAGTTCTTCGTGCCGCCCAAGGTGAGCGCCAACCCCGCCTGAAGGGTGGCGGAGTGCCGTGGGCACAGTCCAGGGTGCCGGTGGCTGCCTTGGCATTGCTTGGTCTGGCTGGCAGGATGGCGTACTGAATGCCTGGATCCTGGGATGTGGGCCTGCTCTGCCTCTCCCACAAGTCACCCCTCAATGCCTCTGTACTTGAGAGGTGTCAGAAGGGCCCTGGCTACAGGACAGGTTCTGGGGTACTGTTCTTTGCGGTTTGGAAAGCCTGACCCCCTGCCCTACTCTTTTCTTTACCTGGGACCCGTGGTTGCCTGGAGCTGCCCAGAGAGGAGGCCTGCACTCAGAGAGGGCTCCTGGGGAAGTCTGCATCTATTCTGCTGGAAATCTGTGAATCCCCAGTTTGGCTGCCAGGCTGCAGCTCAGCCCCTGCCCAGGTGGCCTTTTTTTGGTCTGGGCTTCGAAAGCTAAGCTCTAGCTGCTGCCAGCATTGCTGCTCAACTGAGTGTGCCTTCCCCTGCCCCTTCTTGGGGACTCACTAAAAGAGCCCTGGGCACAGTTTTGGGTCTCCTCCATAGTGGCAAACCTGCCTTGTTTGGAAAGTGGGAATAACTGTAACAACGGTGCCCATTTCCTGAGAACCCACTGTGTGCCTAGCCTGGTGGGCAATCTCATCCTCCCAGTACTACAGCAAGGTGGGAATAAATGGGGGGGCCTGCCCAGTCAAACAGCTTGTGGGTAGCAGAGCGGGCTAATTATACCCATCACCCTGGTGGTCCCAGGAACGAAAGGAGCATGGTGGTGGGAGCTCCTTGTGCACCAGGAGGTTCAGAAAGGTGCTGATGCAGCAGCTGGCAGGCACCCCCAAGAACCACCCAGGGCTGCCACCTACCTCTGGGCCCACTCTATCCTCAGTGCCTTTAGTCAACCTGAGTCTCTCACCTCTGTCCCCATCTCCCAGTCTGTCAGAACTGTGGGTTCCATTGGAGGGGCAGGGTATGGACTACCCAGGGCTGGGTGCCCATGGCCCTCGTGAAAGTGATTTCCCAGGGACATCCACTGTCTGAAGAGCTTTCTCCTCAAATCCTAGGACACCCCCCACCCTAGACTTCCCGAGGGCTGTTTGCTTATCCAAGTCCCCAGTGTTAGTTCCCAGAGAGAAATCGTAAGCCATGAAACCCAACTCCAACCCTGTCAGACTAGGAGACTGAGGCCCAGTAAGGGGTGGGAAATGAGATGGGGCTTGCCCAGGGCCACCTAAAGGGCAGAGGCAGAGGTCCAGGCCTTCAAGGCCTCCAGGCCCTGAGTGGCAGTCACAGCTGCCCTGCTGTAAATAGCAGCGGTGGCTGCCTTCGGGGGAGGGGATGCAGCAGCTGGTGCCTTCTTAGTTATCCTCTGAGCCCACCATTCACCACTGGCAGAGGCAGGGTTCCTGAGGGCTCACTTTTCCAACCTCTGAGGAAGACAGGTGGTGTCTTACACCCCACCCCCCACCCCCAATCTGGCCTCCA